TTTTGTATATTAATTTACACAAAATTATTTATTTTTTTTATTATTCTCCTGTTACATTATTGTCTTTTTTACGATAGAATTTATATTTTTTTTATAATAAAGCGTGTTTTTTATAATTTATCATAAATTTTAATTTTTTAAATGTTTTCCTACTTTCCGATGATTCAATTTATAGTATTACAAATTATTTTATAAAACAAATTAATAACTGTTTAAATACAGAACATGTGAAGCATATTTTGTTTCTTTATATTTTATTATATATATATTATAATATAAAATGTGTTTTTAAAAAATGTATGATTTATGCGATTATGAAAATATTTTCTTATAAATTAACATTTTGAAATAGATTAGAATAATTAAATAAATATACTTTCTTATAAGAGTTTTATTATATTTTGATATTTTATTTCTTTTATGAATTTATATGATGAAATTTATTATAATTTCGTCAAAATTATAATTATTAGAAAATATATCCACTATATCAATATATTATTGCGAATCATTTCATTGTTAATATTGTTCGGTTTATTAAAAATATTTAAAAATATTTTCGTTGATTTTTAATTGTCAATGATCAAAAAAATAAAATTTTAAAATAATTTTTTTTTATTTTTTTATTTTTACCTTATTTTGAATCATAAAATTATCTCTTAAATTTTTAACCAACTTTGTTTGAATATTTAGTATATTATATATTATATACTCCTCTACAATATTTAACAATATTGGAAACAAATTTATATTATAAATTTAAAAATGGGATACATGATACATAGTATATACTCAAAAATATCAATTAAAATACAATACATATATATATATATATACAATACATATATGTAAATATTGATTTATTATTAATTGCATTTAATTGTATGTAAATATAATGTGATATTTTAATATTAAATATTAATATTTATAATTTCATAATACATGTATTATTTCATTTTCTTACGATTTTATAAGAGTATAATAATCTTTTTTTTTACTTTATTTTAACTTGTATTTTTTTTTATTTAAATTTGTATTCTGTTCTTTCGCATTTTTCTTCTTCATCTTTGAAGTTTCAAAAAATACATATAATAAAAATATTATATTTCAAATTTTATAAAAATTTATCTGAATTTATAATATTAAAATATAAATTTATTGGAATGGTTTGGAACTTTATATCTCATTCTATATATTCAAAGATAAATAATAAAAAAAAAAAAAATGAACGGAGAGACAGAAATTTAGAATTTAGAAATAAAATATTGAATTTTAAAGAACTTTAAAATGATAAATTAATAAGCTTTATTGAAAAAAAAGAAACATAAAAACATATATAAATGAATTTTTACGCACAAATCATCTATAACAAACAAAAAAATTCATCATAAATTATAATCAAACTTCTCTAAATAAAATTGTTGATTTTCTCGGAAACATATATAAATAAATTATATTTATACAATTTATAACGTCACTCTGCTTGGAGGATTTATGACACATGTAAAAGATTATTAATAGATGTTCAATATATTCATCATTACAATACGTATGCATATGTATCATACATCATTAAATAGAAAATGTAAAATGGTACATATTAGGTTTCAAATGTGTTCAGTATTAGTCATACATTAATTTTAGAAAATATACACATACATATGTATATGTATTTTATATCAAGTTTTAAGTTTGCACATAATTTTCTAAGCTATACGTGTTTAATATTAAAATTTTTTCATAATATATTGTTTTCGAATATAAAATATGGATCTCTCTAAATTTAAAAAAATTTGATTTATTAAATTTGTTAATAATACTAATATTATAAATGCTACTTTATTTCTATTATTAACATTAATATACTTAAGGAGCAGAATTGACTGGTAATAACGTATGTCTACATTTTGAATTTTTTTGAAGCATGTTTGTTTTAATTAAAATAAATTAATAAATTAATTAAAAATCTATGAAAATATTAAATCATATGTATTTGATATTTTATTATATCAGCTAAGATTTAGAGATACAAGAGATAGCAGATAAATGATAATGATATATTTAAAAAAATAATTTTTTCATAGCTTTAGTATATATTATTCTATATCTCTAATAATATTACGAATTATTGTAAAAAATAAATATGTAATAAAGATAAAAAAGATGAAAAATGTTAATAAATATTTTTATTAAGTATTAGTAAATTAATAGAAAATACATATTGGGCGAAAGAGATACTATAAAGAAGGAGGGGTAGATCTCGGAGTGGGAAATAACGAGCGTTGCAACGTCTGCGAGAGTCGTGTCGCTACTTCCGAGGAAATAACATCTTATAGGATACTTTGTAAGTTCAGGTATATTATAAAATAATATGATTTTATCATGCTATTTAATTAAAATTTTTTTGCATTTATATATACTTGCATATATATCTGTTAAAATGGATAGATTAATGTTAAATTAATTTATTTGAATAATATTTAAATATCATTCTGTGCATTGTTTCGAATGGAGAGATCAATATTTTAATTAAAAAAGTGAAGAATAGCGCGGATAGAGAAATAATGTCATTATAATATTCATTTCGTCACAACATTGATTTCGATGTAAATATATTATTACATATAATTTATAATAGCAATTTCTTAATTTATCTTAAAATTTTGATTTGTTATAAATCTAATAAATATATAACCAGAAAATATGAGAAAACAGAAAAATTATTTTCTTTTGTTATTTCCGATTATTTCTTTTTTTTATCATCTAATTATTATTTATCATTATGTGTTATTATTACGTTTATTTATTTATTTTCATGATTTCTTGATCATATTATTTACTTTTTGATAAATAAGTTATATTTTTGTTTTTATTTTTGTTATTATAAACATGGATTCATATTTTTTTTATTTCTTTTAATATCACTTATTTTTAAAATTCATTTTACTATCTTTGATAATTTTATATTGTAATTAAAATTTGATTTTTTAATTAATATATTAATATTTATATATTAAATTAATATATTTACGTACGTAAATTTAATACAAACATGCATTAGAATCAATTATTCGTTAATATGAAATATTTATACAAAATAATTTAAATCAAAATGATTTTGAAATTGATATCATCATTTTAACACTATGTCTGCAAGCTAAATTTGGTAGTTCTTACGTAACGTGTTAACGAACGCACATTCTGAATACACGTACTATTCATTTCAAATTAAATTTCATCAAAACAAATATCAACAAACAATAATAATGGAATTAAAAATGAAAATAAGGATGAAAATAAAACAAGATTATATTGTCATTATATTTCCATGATTTTCAATGTTTTTGATATTTTTTTCATTTTGCTAGTTATTTTAATATTCATTAAAACAACAAAATCTTAATTAAATTTTTTTTAGAATATATTAAATAATTTAATATTTCATATTATGTGAAACACTAATTGCTAAAAAGTATAAATATTTTTCATAAAATTTATTGAATTTCGCTGATAGTTTAAATTTATTTATTGCGCATAATAATTATAAATAATTTAGTATTTTACATTATTTGAAAAAAAGATGAGTTTATTTCATGATTATTAGATAATAATATAATTAAATATTTTTATTAAATAAATAAAATTTTTTAAATGGTAACAAACAGATTATGTGGACGTTAGCATAAACATTGTTCACAATGTTGCATAAATTATTGATAATAACATTATTTTTTTTCGTAATTTTATGTTAATTGTTTCATTTTTTTATTAAATTTAAATATTTATTCATATATCTATTTTTATTATGCATGCCACTGATATTAAGATAAAAAAATAAAAAATCAAATAAATTTTTAATTCTTGTTGAAAAAGACTATATATATTGGGAAAAAATATTTTTGAGAATCGATTATGTTTGATTGGATACACACATTAATAATTAAAAACCTCGAATCCTATATTTTGTTTTAAATGCAAAAACGATTTTTTTGAAAAATAATAATATATTGGATTATCTGTTTGATGATATTTGTTATATTTTCAATTCAATTATTTTTGATTTTATTTATTTATATATATATTTTTTTTTACTGATTTTTCACTTTCTATAATATTATGATAATTCTGTTAATAAGTTATATATATATATATATATAATTAATTTTTAAAATTTAAAAATCATATTTGATATATTACATATCATTTAAATATTTTTTAACGCAATATTCAAGAATACAATACAACATAGCAATATAGGATAATATGATAGAATAATTTTATAATAACTAATCATAATAATAAGAATTTGAAGCAAATATTAAAAAGAATACATATTATAGTACATTATAATATATGGATTCAATTATATTGAAAACAAATAAAAAAGATGGAATTTTCTTTTTAAATATTTAATTTAATTAGTGAAAGAATGTATGTGAAATGAAAAAAAAAATGGATATTTTTGTTTACTTTTATACATTTATAATATGTGATATGTTTAAATATAAAAGATTGTACATAAGTATATAGATAGAAACATAAAGAAAAGAAGATAAAAGTACAAATTTGAAAAAAAAAAAAAAAAAAAGAACAATAGGGTCAAATGTACTTTGTAATTGGAGGCGGTTGTCCGGGACTTGAGAGTACTGTGTGCCAGTTTAGTTCACGGACACCAAATTAGACACGGTCTATTTTTGAACAACTTATAGTTGCTTGTTCCAATTTACTGATTACTCATACTAGGAACTGTATAGCAAAATTAAATGAGGGATATTCAATGTTTGGAATTGTTTAAAAATTTTGTTTAATACGTGGGAAGGGGGGGGGGGTGAGAAAAAAGAACAAAAGAAAAGGATTTCTTCCATTCGAAATTATTACATTTCAAATTGATTGATCGATCTTTCTTTTAAATAACAATTAATTTTAATCCATAATCAATTTATAATTACGAATAATTATGAATAATAATAAAATTTATTCAGAATCAACATAAAATTAAAAAGAAAAAAAATTTATTAATTTTTTATATATTTTTCATTTTGCTAGTCATAATAACGCACAAATTATTTAATATATTTTCCAAGTTCTTTTATTCCGATTTTTTTTTTTTTTTTTTTTTTTGCAATTTTATTACACCACCAAAGGATTCGAATTAGAATCGATCTTTACAAATTGTTATTCCTAATTTCTCTATCGATCTCCAAACTGTGACAAATTAATTTATGATGAATAAATGGAATTTCAGGTAGCGAAGAAGGTAGTATTCTATCCAAGATGTCAAGACCGATCCTTAGCAGACCGCGTACGCGCGTGTATGGATGCAACTACGACAAAGGGGAGTCGTATTATAAGCCAATGGTCGATCACTTGGATCGAAAGTATAGCTCACGACCACTTTTTTCTGAACCAAGAAATTCGTTGGCCGACGAGATTGCTGCCCGACGAGGCGACATCGGTAACATCTTCAGTCGTTTTCCAAAATGGTTTTAAGGAGTGAACATATATCCTATTCCTTTTCTTTCTTTTTTTTTTTTCTCCCCCCTCCCCCTTAACTATTACGTCAGTAACTTTTTTCCATTGTCAATAAGAAAAAACGTTGGATTATTTTTTGGCATGTCCAATCCAATTCCTAATGTGACGACGATGAATGTATTGTTTTATATATATACGTATATCTGCTGTTACAGCCACGCAAAAGAAAAGAAAAAAAAAAAAAAGAAAAAATAAGACGAAAAATTTTTATTCAACGATCAACATAAGAAAAACTGCTTTGCACTAATGACAGAATAAAATAAAATCACAATGACATAAAAAAGCTGCATCGTCTAATGATTTATTACATCCTGTGACACGAAACGAGTACAAAGATACTTTCATACTACTACTATATATATCATTTTACATTACATTCGGATATTATTTCTCTCTATACTGTATGTGTGTAAAAGTGTAAAGACGTGTAACGTGATCTTTGAGAAAAACAAATTTTTCCCTTTCATCTCTTAATTATTATTAAATATAAAAACCAATTGTTATTTATAATTCGTTGTAAACGAGATATTCGAATCTTAAAACCGTATATATATATATTTTATTAATACATCACAATCCACACGTACGAATGTTAAAAAAATTCCTAAAATTGATCCAAAATTTCATATATAATTAATATTTATAGGAGTTGGAAGATAAATTGTTGAATATACAATAATTTTTAAAAATTAGAATTAAGAAAATTTAAATATTTTTTCATTATAATATTATATATATATATAATTATTTTTTTTTGAAGAATTTTATTTTCAATATAAGAAATTTTTGTTATTAAAATGAATGTTGTAATTAATATAATAATAATAATAATAAATATAAATATACTTACATTTGAATATAAAAAAAATAAATCTGAATTTTTAATTATATTTGAAAATGAATTAATTAAAATATTATTATTTATCGTTTTAGAAATTAATTTAATAAAGATTTTGAACGGAAAGGTGTAGGTTACAAAACGAGCGTAAATATGTAACATAAATATGTACTCACACATTCGCTATTATCCGAAGAAACATCCGCGGATAACACGGTCGAAAAGTCTTTCTTTTAATTGATGAAATAGAGAAAATTCTTAAAACACGACGAAATTAATGGAATATATGTATATGTGTATGATGATCCTTAACAGTCTGCATATTTTGAGATGTCCGTTTTTACAGGCACGCGTGACCTCTCCGCCCCTCGCAACAGTCCCCTTGGGCGTGACCTTGACCTTGAATCAGATCCTTCCATTCGCGGCCCACAATTACCCACACTACCCTCCTCGGCCACTGCCGACAACTTGTTCGCCCCCGAAGACGAGGATGTCGTCTACGACAGCCGTGGGCAGCGTAGTCGGCGCCGATTCGCCGACAATTTTGCCAACGACGTCGTAGCAACGACGCAACATTTGAAAGCGAAACTGGCCGCGATCGGGTTGGAGGACGAGGTCGAAGCAGCGTTGGGGAGATCGCGACGTGCACGCCGCGATGACGAGGACCGGGACGAAAATGGCAACACCGCTGGAAGGAATCTGTGGAGGGATGTTAAGTCGATCGGCGAAGAGGCGGAGGCGACGTTCAAAAGACGTTCGAAGATGTTCGACGAGATCGCGGATCGTTCGTCGGAGGATGGCAGGCCGCTGCTCGCCAAATGGTCGAAACTGATGATGGACGATAACGAAAATTCGATCGCGGCAAGCGCCGCTGCGGCCAGGGCGAAACAGACGAAGGCACGTTTGAACGATCTCGAGTCAGAGATGGAGGAGCTAGCGGAGAGGCAAGCGAAGAGGGAGCGCAGGGCAGCCGCTCTCAGAGCGTTGATCAACGAAAATATCGCCGACACGGAGAACGTTCAGGAGCAGTCCGTTGTTAGCAAAAAGGTTTCCATCCGCGAGCGTGCCGAGAAACACGTCGCTTTTTAGGAATATTCTATGTTCGATTCTAAGATAAGATTAAATATTTATGGCCTAAAGGTATGATAACGATCGTGTTTTTATTATTCAAAGGAAAGAAAAATATATATACGTCGTATGTGTATTGTGCGTTACCGGCAACATCCCATCCTATCCTTTTTAATATATCTATCTTTTTTTGTTCCTAATGTTCCTACAGATATTCTTTGTATGTACATATATCATTTCGGATCGTCCCTTTCTTGCATTCTCGTCAGATATAACGAACGTATATTCACATTCACAGGAATAATATTGATATTTGTACAAAGTGTGGTAGGACATTAGCAATATCGTGAAAATATAATTTTAATCGATTATATATTGTAACGTATAATGTATAATAGATTCTTTATATAATCATACAAGCGTATGTTATTATATACGTATGTATATATATATATA